ATATATCAATAAAACTGTTAAAATTTAAAATAGCCTTTTTTTTAAAAATACCATATTTTAATACTCAATGTGACATCTTTACTTTTTAGCACTTTAAATACTTCGTTTATAGAAAATTTTCCCAGTGTAATACAGCATTTGATTTCTTGACATTTGCTTCCATTGTGGGTCCAAGTAAAATTAAATGCGTGACAATTTCTCTCTTTTCTCCATTTATTATGATGTTATTTATTGTTCCAGTTATGTGTGATTTTGTTTTGTGTTGAAGTGTAATTCAGACTGAAGGGTCTAGTCTTTCATTTTCTTCAGTACTGCTTCAAGTCCCATTGGCTTTGGGCAAGCAAGGGTTCTGTCACCTGGACAGTACAGGTTGTGAAGAGCCCGTCTCCAAACCTGATGGTATGTTCTTCTTCATATCACACATTTCTTGAATTGCTTAGCATACAGAATAAATACAGTAAAATTTACCTGATTTTAAACCACTCAGTCTGATCCAAGTGCTGTCTCGTGATCTATGTACAAATTCCACATAACCAAAATGAAGTGTTCTGGAATTCCCATTTTTGCAATATTACCCATAATTTGTTATTGTGGTGATAATTTATTTTATAAGAATTAATATCAGACTAGTCCAAACTTGTGGTGATTAAAGATATCCCAAATATATAACTTTTCCAAGATATTCTATCACTCCATTTCGCTCACACTTATTCCTTTGATATATTCTCTCACATCCCTGGGTTTTGCGATCTGCTGTGATGTGACACAGAATCAAGAAACTTTAAGGAAATGCCTCACATGAGTATTGGTACAGTCAAGTCCTAAATCTGATGGTCAAAAATAGGGAAACCACACGCAGGGTCCAGTGACAGAAACCAAACATGTTAGAAAATCAAAGCATATTTTCTAGTTACTACTAATGCTCAGTCAAGAAACGGAAATTACAAAAGGAAAGGCTTTGATGAAGGTGTGGTTTTTATCTTTCAGCTGACTGTACCACCAAGGAAAACTTAGTTACACCCTATAGCAGAGCAGAGACTAAAGATACATCTCACCTTCATCCTCTAAGAGAGAACACCCTCCACATTGGAATTATAACCATAGACACGCAGGCTGGAATTTACAAAACGTCCCTGTGTTAGTCCAGATTGACTAGAGAAACAAATTCAAGGACACTCATAAGAAAAATCTTACCATAGTGAATCAGGGGGGAAGGGTGGAGTAGACACGCAAAGCCAATTGGTAGGCCACTGGACATACCCTTACAGAAGGGTTTCAGAGAGGAGACGAGCCAGTCAGGGCGCAATGTAGCAACGATGAAACATACTTTTCTCTAGTTCCTAAATGCTTCCTCCACCACCCCACCCCCCACTATCATGATCCCAATTCTACCTTGCAAGTCTGGCTAGATCAGAGGATGTACACTGGTACAAATAGGAACTGGAAACACAAGGAATCCAGGGTGGATGATCCCTTCAGGACCAGTGATGTGAGTGGCGATACTGGGATGGTAGAGGGTGGGTGGGTTGGAAAGGAGGAACCGATTACAAGGATCTACATGTGACCTCCTCCCTGGGGGACGGAAACAGAAAAGTGGGTGAAGGGAGACATCAGACAGGGCAAGATATGACAAAATGAAAATTTATAAATTATCAAGGGTTCATGAGGGAGGGGGCAGCGGGGAGGTAGGGGAAAAAATGAGGACCTGATGCCAGGGGCTTAAAGAGGAGAGCAAATGTTTTGAGAATGATGAGGGCAATGAATGTACAAATATACTTTATACAATTGATGTGTGTATGGATTGTGATAAGAGCTGTATGAGCCCTAATAAAAATATTTTTTTTAAAGAGCTTTATAGCAATGAGTAATTGTATATTAAGAAGTCATCCCAGCCAAGTCCATAAGTCCGATGTCATCCCAGCCAAGTCCATAAGTCCGATATTAGCCCAGAAGTCCAATACTAGTCCAAAAATCCTCCTTCAGAATCACAGTCACATGCAATGATGCAAAATGCAGGAAGATCACAGGCCAGTGGGTGCAACGTCTTGTAGATCCAATGCCAGTGGAAGCATCTCAGTGCTGGGACAGGTCTCTATGTAGCTCATCCAGCTCTCTAAGGGTGGCAGTTCTCTCACAGAGCTCAGCAAGTCTCTGGGTGGCTTGTTAACAAGAAGACAAAGGCAGAGAGGGAGGAATTCCCTCATTAGAAGGCCACACCCACAAGGAGGCATCATCACACTGTGACCTGATTGATAGGCTAGACTCCACCCCTACACTCTTTTATCAAGTTGACATGAAATTACGTAACAACCAGACTCACAAAAAGAATTATGGCAAAAGAGATTATGGCTCGAAGGGCCATATTAAATAACTGGTTTCATCTCAGTTATGATCTACACTGTGCCATTGCATAATGACTTAAAAAAACAGGTAAATCTGTCTTGGAAGAGTTACAGCCAGATGCTCCTTAGAAGTGAGTGTGGGGAGATTTTTGTCTCAAGTACTTTGAATGTGCTATCAGGGGAGACCAGTCCCTAGAAAACAACATCATGATTGGCAAAGTAGAGGGTTAGGAAAGAAAAAAGGTGGAGGTGGCGGAGAGAGACCCTAAATTACATGGGTTGGCACAGTGGCTGAAATAATGAGCTCATCCATAGCAGGATGGAGCAGAATCAGCCGTGTTTCCTTCGATTGTGCTATCAGTTGGAACCAGTTCAAGGACACAACAAACACCTTCCTGGTATGCTCTGCTTTCAGTCAAGATCCAGCATAGGTCAGCACTAATATCTCTCATTCCATATCCTCTTCTGAATCCTGCTTGAATATCTGGCAGTTCCCTGTTGATACTGTGGAAACCATGTTTTAATTATATTCAGTGAAATGTCATTTACATGTGATTAGTATTCAACCATTTCAAGAAACAGCATATGAATAAGAACCAATAGTACTTAAGGAATAAGTTGCACTGAAAGCATTAACCAAAAGCAAGTCTCCAGGAATTGACTGAATACCAACTGTTTCAAAAGACTGATGAAGCACTAGGGACACTCACTCAGTTATGCCAGGAAAGGTGAAAGGCAACTACTTGGCTAACTGACTGGAAGGGATTCATATTTTCACTCTTTCCAAAGAAAGGTGACCCAACAGAATGCACAAATTACAGAACAATATTATTGATAACACATGTAAGTAAAATGTTGTGAAGATTATCTATTAACAGTTGCAGCAATACATTGACAGGGAGTTGCCAAAGGTTCAGGCTGGATTCAAAAGAGGACGTGTGTGTTAGTCTGGGTACTTTAGAGAAACAAATCCACAGAAACTCATGTGTAAGAGAGTTTTATGTAAAGGTTAAGTGCACATCAAGAAAATATCCCAACCCAGTGCTGCCCAAGTCCACAAGTCCAACATTAACCCATTAATCCATATGTCCAACACCAGTCCACAAAGTCCTCCTCCATCTCACCAAACAAACACAATGATGCCGACTGCAGGAGGAAAGCTAAGTCAGTGAATGTGTAAGCATCTCAGCGCTGACAGGGGTCCCCACACGGGAGCTCCAGCATTCCGGGCTGCATCTGGGTAGGTCCATGTGGCTTCTCCTTGGGGATGTCTTGCAGGAAGTGAGCCTTGCCAGCTGAAACAGGGAACTAAGGCAGCTGCATCCTGGTGCAACAATCACAAAGCAAGAGACCAGAGAACTCAAAAGGCAAGGCTCATGGAGCCATTCCTCCCTCTGCCCTTCAATTAACCCCACATGTGTTTATCAGCCAGGTTGGCACAATAAACTAACTGACTCAACGTAGAACAAAGGATATCATGTTAAATGGATCTTGGGAAGCAGAGAATACCAGAAGGATGTTTGTTTCTGTTTCATTGACTGTGCAAAGGCATTCAAATATGTGAATCATAACAAACTACAAATAGTCTTGAGAAGAATGAGGATTCTAGAACACGTCATTATGCTCATGCAGAAGCTGTAATGAATCAAGAGGCAGTTGTGTGAACAGAACAAGGGAATACTTCATGGTTTAAAATCAGGAAAGGTGTGTGTCCGGGTTGTATCCTCTCGCCATACTTATTCAATCTGTATGCTGAGCAAATAATCAGAGAAGTTGGACTAAATAAAGAAAAAATGCAGCATCAGGATTGGAGCAAGGCTTATTAACAACCCATGATACACAGATCACACAACTTTGCTCGAAGTACTTGCTGGTGAAGATCAAAGATTGCCGCCTTCAGCACAGACTACAACTCAATGTAAAGAAAACAAAAAATCCTCACGACAGGATCAGTAGGTAACATAATGATAAATGGAGAAAAGGTTGAAGTTGCCAATAATTTTGTTTTGCGTGGATCCACAATCAAAGCCCAATGAAGCAGCAGTCAAGAGATTAGATGACAAATTGCATCAGGTAAACCTGCTGCACAAGACCTCTTTTTTTTTTAACATTTTATTAGGGGCTCATACAACTGTTATCCCAATCCATACACACATCAATTGTGTAAAGCGCATTTGTACATCATTTCTCAAAACATTTTCTCTCCATTCAGACTCCCGACATTAGGTCCTCATTTTTCCCCTCCCTCCCCGCTCCCCCCTCCCGCATGAGCCCTTGATAGTTTATAAATGGGTATTTTGTCATATCTTGCCCTGTCCGACGTCTCCCTTCATCCACTTTTTGGTTGTCTGTCCCCCAGGGAGGAGGTCACACACAGTTCCATGTAATCAGTTCCCTCTTCCCTACCCATTAAAGTGTCGAAAAGCAAATTTACTTTGAGGACTAAGGTAGACTGGGCCCAAGCCATAGTAGTCTTTTCAATTACTTTATATGCATATGAAAGCCGGACACTAAATAAGGAAGATTGAAAAAAAAATCTATGTACTTGTATTTGAATTATGGTTTTGACAATAAATATTGAAATTACCTTGGACTACCCAGAGAACAAACAGATCTGTCTTAGAAGAAGTATGGCCAGAATGTTATTTAGAGGCAATCATGGCGGGAATCCATGTCATATTTTGGAGAGATCGGCCCCTTGAGGAGGACATCATGCTGGGTACATGGAGGAGCGGTGAAAAACAGGAAGGCCTTTCATGAGATGGATTTGATAGAATGGCTGTAACAATGCGGCTAAAACTTAAGAACAATTGTGTTTTGGCAGTGTTTCATACTTTTGTACATTTTGTTACTATGAATAAGAACCAATTTGATAGCATCTAACAACATCAATGTTGTTCAATAATTTCCACATTGTATTTATTCTCATTCATGACTTGTCTAGTACTCTCATTCATCACTGCTTAAGTGATACCACCTTTTGGAAAGCAACTGGCAGTATGCATCTTAAAATTTTAAATAATACTTTAAAGGAGAAGACTTCACCCATGTACTTTGGCCTGGTATCAGGAGAGAACAATGTCTGGGAAGAGACATCATGCTTGAGAAAGTACAAGACCAGCAAAAAAGGAGGAAAATGTTGAATGAGATGAATTGGCACAGTAGCTGCAACAATGGGCTAAACCATGAATGATCATGAAGATGTTACTAACAAAGTAGCATTTCGTTCTGCGGAACCCAGGATCCCTAGGAGTTAGAACAACCTAGCTGGCATCTAACAAGAACATGTTCATTATCCCAATGTAGCATTTCTCGACAATTTCCTGGAGGGAAAAATCTAAAATTAGATAAGCATTATACAATAAGCTTAATTTTAACTTATTGTTTAATAAATTTAACCTAAGTTTAATAAAATTGGTGAGACTAAAAATAAATGATTAGATTGTGGTGTATTTCCTCAACACAGAATTGCTTGATCACTTGTAATGATGTTAAAATTATTAGAAAAATACTCACACTGGGTTAAATGGAGAAAACAACACTGGACTTGTATGTACCTAGGTTTTCCCTACATAAAAATGTATTACTGCTAGGTCCAAGAGAAACATGCGGTGTTTTATTTATGAGGTGGAAGCCAAAGTCTCATTAACAAAAGAGTCCCTGAAACATTGTACTACTTTTTAAATTTGCAAGCTATTGATATATAAGGCGGTTCGTTAGTTATATCAGAAAGTCTTGGCTTTTATTTCAAATGCTTCGAATTTGTGAAATATTTTAAATTAAAGCTAGTGTCCTTTGCATAAACCTAGTAATGAATTACTGCATTTCTATAATTCACTTAAATTTTACTACCGTTTGCAGAATTGGGGAATTATTGACATGCTACTGGAGCGTCCTATAAAATGTAAGTCATCACCCTGGATATTAGTGCCGTAGTGATCTTTCCTAACACTATTTGATCGATGGTTATATTTGCTATTTTGATTTTCAAGGGCTTTAGAGTCTCACAGAGTTGTAAGCAACTTGATGGTAGTAGGTTTGGGCGGATTATTCAAATAATTAGACCATGCTTATTTATCTACTAATTAAATTGCTCCTGATGCCTGCCCTTTAGGAAACACACACCATTATTACCAGTTAATAAGTTTCTGAGATCTACGCCTAGAATCTGGCCATACTTCACATACCTATGCCTTGTCAGGAGAGACCAGTTCCTGGAGAGAGACATAAAAGACCTTCCACAGATGGATGGCCAGGCTCAACTCTACGGCTCAAACTTACCAACAGGTGTGGGGATGGTGCAGGACCGGGCAGGGTTGGGTTCTGTTGTGCACAGGGTCACGGTGGGTCGGAACTATGGATGGCACCTAACCACAACGTGTCTAGGTCTAGGATTCTAAAACAGTCCATGATTCTGCATTTACTATCAAGAAGCCAAGCAGCCCTGGTGGTCGAGCCCACCAGCCTCTCCAGGGAATAAAGATGAGGTTTCCCGCAGCGGTAAGAGTTACAGCCTGGAGAGGGCGACTCATTGCAGTGTTTGCGGAGCAAGACGCCAGGGTCAAAACTACGTGCACCAAACGACGGCAATCTTAGACCCGAGGGGGAGTAACGGGGCACACTAAACCCCAGAGAGACTCACTCTCCAGCCCCTCGAAATCGTCCTGCTGGGCTCTTCCAAGACACCCGGGCTCCACACGGCGCCCGCGGCCTATGGCCTC